GATATGGGGAAAAGAAATCTATGCCAAGCGGTGGGATAGTAATAGGATGTTACAATTATGTTTTTGCTATATTATAATAACGACATATAAGCGTTTTAAAACTATGCTTTGTGCATAGTTTTAAAACGCTCAATTAAATTTTTGATGCTGACTGTACCAAATTTACTTAAAAGATCATGTACTTAATATGATTAAAATTTTCAAATTATTAAAAATATGGATGTCTATAGGCGACGGTTACCACTTTCCATCAGGTGGGCCCTCAGCTTGTTTGCCATTCTAAGTTGCATAAAAGAAACTATAATATAATTTTAAAAAATATAAGCGACCACTTACTATTTTATATATATATATATATATATATATATATATATATATATATATATATATATATATATATATATATATATATATATATATATATATATATATATATATATATATATATATATATATGAATGATGCAGCACGCGCCCTGATTGCTTTCTAATCGCATTAGCCACATGCCAAGTAACTTGTACAAACAAGATAAACCAACTTCGCAAATGTCATATTATTATTATTGCGAACTTGAGATAGCAGTTATGGTGTTTGGAACTTATAACCATAGAATCGCAATACCGGCATTAAAGGGGGACAGGAATTGTTAATAATTGGGTGTTACATCCACGTGGTTCCCCTTGGGAGCAATCTTTGTTAATTCTTGTTGAATTCTTGGCTGTGTTTCAGTTTGAAGGGTGGGATATGACGTGAATTTACAGGGTACAGAGGAATAACACCTGAGTCCTCAGGAATGGCAACGCATGAGGGTATCATGGGTGAAACAGTATACTCTATTACGTCCATGGTACTGCTCGTGTCTATAGGCGATTGTTACCACTTTCCATCAGGTGAGCCGTTAACTTGCCATTCTAAGTTGTATAAAAAAAAAAACAAAATAACTGGTATTGCCACACCTGAAGTCGGTTTTTGTGTGAAACACAATCTTTAACACGTATCCAATCACATTTACCGTGTCCCCCCCCCCTCCACTTCTTTCCCGTGAGAATCGTAAGAGGCTATTAAATGTACTTAAGGGTCGAAGGATGGGCAACAGCACCCCTTTGAAAACATCAGCAAAGCCTAACTGCGGTTGCGAACCCGCTTGCTAATTTTGGCAACTACTAGCAAAAACTGCCCAATATATAACAGTAAACAGTTAAAAGCAAATATATTGATGATACAGATAAAAATAATGATAATAAAAATTACAAATTTACTTCAAACATTTTCAAAAAATTTTTTGTCTGCAAGCTAGGTCTCAGGTAACCTAAATATCTAGCAAAAGCTTTTCAGATATTAGTCCAAGTGCAATGTTACGTAACTTAACATGTTTCTCGCCTACTTTCATACTTGTTGTGTACTTTGCCTAAAAAAGAACACATTTAGACTAATAAATATTTCTGGCCAGTTCCCTAAAAGCATTTGCCTATAACAGGCCTTCTCAATCTGTGCTTTTAATATTACAGCGGTCCGCAATAATAATTTTCAAATGAGAAGGAATGCAAATAATTACAAAAAGAATTGATTTAAACGTACAAATACATTATATGTAGATGGATAGATAATTTATTTGCATTACTTACAGCATATAAACTACAACATTTATAGATATACATAAAACGCGTGATAACATAAATGATTAAAAAAAAAATACATAAAGCTTAATACAATTTTTCATTTGTGCGTGTGCCATAACAATACAAAATGGTCACAACTCAGTTTATTGCTTCGCCCTCAAAAGAACGAAGCACTGATATTCTGTTGCGGCCAAAGGGAATAGGGTAACAATAAAACAATACTACCAGATTATCTATACAGTAAACAGACAGATATGACAGTTTATCTAGCAGACAAATGGAACATAGAGGTAACTTGCTGCAATGTCTAAGTTTTGCCTCTCAATTAAGAATTTTTGTTAATTAATTTTGAAACTGGACTTAGTGGCGATCAGTCTTATGGGAGGTGGTATATTGTTCCAACATTTTGTGGCTTGATATCGGAAGCTACCATTAAAAACTGCTGTCTTATGGAAAACGTGACTCTCTAGTACCGTGATTATGTAATCTGGTGAATATAAGTTGTATTTGTACGTTTACGAAATTAAGTTGTACGTCTGTGCGTAATCATATATATTAAACTATTTATCAAAATAAAGATTTGAATAAATGAATGAATGAATGAAAACTCTTTATTGTTCTATTCAAAGAATGATACAGATAATAAAGATTAACAATATGTAAACAAACAAAATTATATATATATATATGTATGTATATATATGTATTACTGCAGTCGCCTCTTACTACATTATTTACAGTGTTCTAATTTTAATTTGTAAAATCATAGTGTATTCTTATTCAGACGTTAAAAAAATGATTTAGCTTTTTATTTTAGGTACAAGTTATTCTTACTAATATTTTAAATTTGAAAGTGTGTTATTCTTGGCACCTTAACGGCTTAATCAATCTTATTAAATTTTGGTATTCAGATACATTATGAGATGGAAAAAGGCTTATTTTTATCCTGGTCAGTGTACACGATGATACGCAAACGAAGTCGCGGGTAAAAGGTAGCATAAACATAAATTATACACAAAAATTATAATAAAAATAAATTCATGCAATTATAAATTTATCGCGTTAATAAACCTGTTTGACTGTATTTCTACAAAGCGGTCTCCAGGGGAATAAAGTTGAGTAGCACTGGCATAGAAGGTGTAAAAATAATTTCATTACATTTTGTTTGTCTCATACTGTGACATTGTTTATTTTCCAGTAACCGCTGGTTCTTTTATATAATATTACTAGCCGACTCAGTAAACGTTGTTTTACTATATACATTATTTCTAGAACTATACATGAAAATTTATCGTACTACAATTATTATATTCGATTGCCATCTTGCAATCCTATTGCAGCATAAAAAAATCGCGATTAAAAAACAGGGGTTGATCATAAAAGCGTGAACATTTGAATTTGAATGTATTTTTCAATGCTTAATCATAATAAAATAAAAATAAGAAATATTGTCAAAAAAATTAAAAAAAAAATATTTAGGGGTAGGTCACCCTTATCGTTGAGGGGTATGAAAAGTAGTTTTTTTTTATACAACTTAGATTGGCAAACAAGCTGACGGCCCGCCTGATGGAAAGTGGTAACCGTCGCCTATAGACATGAACAGTACCATGGACATAACAGAGTATACTGTTTCGCCCATGCGTTGCCATTCCTGAGGACTCAGGTATTATTCCTCTGTACCCTGTAAATTCACGCCATATCCCACCCTTCAAACCGAAACACAGCCATGCAAACACAACTGCTTCACGGTTGAAACACGAATGAGACAGAGGTACCCAAGCAATCGACTTTTGTACAAAGTTTCTTACTGATTTTCCCCATTAGGATGGGTAGCTGTGTCCCTTTTAATACATCACCAAAACCTAACTGCGGGCGGGAAAGGGATTGTTAGTAATGGACACTGAGAATCCTATTGCTAGCAATATACCCAACCAGGTCGACCTCCTTGCGGTTCCCCCTGGAAACTATCATAGTTAATTCCTGATGAATTCATCATAATGGGCTGACTGGCCTGTTTTCATTCTCATCTATCACCCTTCACTGGTGCTCCGCCAGCGTATCCCGTTAGCGCAGGCGGGGTTTTCACCCATCAAAAAAGAAACATGATTTTTCTAGCATGGAGACCAGAGATACTATATGTAATCTGAATGTATCTTGTAATTGCATCTGTATATTTTTTGTTAAATAAATTATTATTTGTATGATTATTAAATATCTCTCAGACTTGTCTTTTTTTTTTTTTTTACAACACAGGGGGCAAACGAGCATGCGGCTCACCTGATGGTAAGTGACTACCGCCGCCCATGGTCACCCACAACACCTACGGCATTGCAGGTGTGCTGCCGGCCTTTTAAAAAGGAATATGCTCTTTTCTTGAAGGATATGTTGTCGTATCGGTTCGGAAATACTGCTGCTGGAAGTTGATTCCAAAGAGTGGTTGTGCGTGGGAGAAAGTGCCTTGAAAAACGCACGGTGGAGGACCGCCACTCGTCCAGATGGTTGGGATGAAATTTTAGTTAATACTAGAACTATGATAAAGCGTATTAATGACTTACGTTTTAATAATGATTTATATCTCATTAATTAATCATTCAATTCTGCTATCCACTGTTGGACTTAGGCCTCCACAATAAGGAAGATTATGCCGTCCTTTATTAATTACTACTAATTATTAATATACATAATTAATTTATAATGTTAATAAATACATACGAACGAACCTAAGGTTTTGGAATGAACTCCCTGTCGAGGGTTTTTCATGTGACTACAGTATGCTGTTTTTCAAAAAGGAGTAAAAAGTGTGATGTCACTGGTATAGCTTTTATAGGTTACGATATCCACCGTAAGGTGGGCCGTATACTTGTTTTCCACCTTATTAATATAAAAAATAGAAAAAAAAACTCAACAGTAACTCTTTTAAATCTCTGTTAACATTATATTTATTGATTTAAATGTACAATGAATAAAATTATATGGTCGTTAAAAGCAAATAATCGATTAGTGTGTGGCTGTGTTCAATAAGTGTTTTTAATACATACATACGTTCTTACATTCTGTTAAAAAAAAAAGAAAAATATTTTAAATAATGCAATAACAACTGTAGTGCGCAAAACTATTAATTATAAATATGATATGTTAATAATATTTGGAAATGAAATCATTAAAATAACTACATTTCTCACACATAGATAACTTGTTATTTTTTATTTAATTATTCAATAAAAATTTATGAGCACGTAAAACATGTGGAAATATATTGATTTATTTTTCTTTGTACTTAAAAAAAAAACTTAACACGTATGTCAAACATTTTTTATTAAATTTTTATACAACGCAATAAACTCCGCCATTTTTCATTAACCTAGCGCCATCTATCCGCAGGCCCGATCAAAACTACCGAAGAAACGGCGCCGCGTGCTACCCGTGGAACAGCCGCGTAGGAAACGCGACGCTAGCGCCTCCAACCGCCGTGTCAACGCTGTGAAACACCCAGTTGTGCTGAAGGACTTATCACCAGGTAGCAATAAAGTTGGTAAGTTGAAACAGTAAGTCACAGGATGGACCACAGATGGCGGATGTTAATTTGCTACGTCAGCACTCGGCAGTCAATCAGAAAGCAATAGAAGTAACTAAATAATATAAATACAAAACTGTTATTTGTTTTATAGATAGAGCCTTGGGCCTCAAAAACGGGTCAAATTATTATCATTCAATCGTCAAATTAACTGACTCGTTTTTTTTATCAGTGTTCTATATACGCACACAACGTATCTTGACGTATCTATATTTAATTATTTAATAAACAAAAAGAGTTTTAACGCATTAAAAACATGCAATAATTTTAAAACAAAAAAATATAGAAGTTATAAAGGAAACACTCATAATTATTTATCACATAAAATTGTATGAAAAAGTTGACCCGCTTTTCTCGAAGCATTTGTATGGAGACACTATCTATTCAATCTAAGGTATATCTATATATATATATATATATATATATATATATATATATATATATATATAATATAAATAGTAATTGTGTAATATACATACATATATACCAACAAATTACAGTTTTGTAAAAATTTAAACAGCTAATGCACCTCCATTGTTTTCAGAGACGTATAAATATCATTACTTAAAGGTCATGGAGTAGGCAGTAGCGTCCCTCTTAAAACATCACCAAAGACTAACTACGGTTGCTAACCCACTTGCCAATCTTGGCAACTACTGCCAAAACCTCCCAATGGTAAACTGCGATAAGGAATGGCCCAGTTCTTTATAGCAGTCTATAGGGAAGGCCTATGTCTAATAATGGACAGACAACAGTTGATACAATGATGATGATGATGATAGATGATCACGAACATTCAATACTTTTTCAAACATATTTAAAAAAGACCTATAAATAAAGTACTAATAAATAATTTTTCTACGTAAAAAAAAACTATCAAATTAAGAGAAACCTAAACTCTTAATGTAGCAGAAGAATTATTAAAACATTTAATATCTGAATACCTACCAACCAAATGGAGTCTCGATACACACAGATTTGCCTGGGTACCTCTGTCCCATATGCTATATAAGAGCAGTTTAGGACGACCCCCTACTTCATGTAGTGACGACTTCAAGCGCATTGCAGGGAATCAATGGATGTAACCATTATATATGGCAGTCTATGGGGGAAGCCTATGTTCATCAGTGGACGGATAATGGCTGAGATGATGATGCTGTATGAGATAAAGAAGGATATAGTCTACTTTTAAGTCAAATCACTTTTTTATGATATTTAGAATAGCAGACAAGCTGACGGCCCACCTGATGGAAAATGGTAGCTGTCACCTATAGATATAAACAATACTATGGATATCAAGGATAGACTGTGATTCCTATTGTGCTCCTCTGTACCCTTTAAGTTCAGTGCAATATTTTTCCGTATTATGATGACGTAATTATAATGATGATGATTCTAGTGTTCAAATTGGAGCACAGGTATCCAAACAGCCGTTTCATATCAGAAATGGAACATTTTTTTTATACTACTTAGAATGGCAAACAAGCTGACGGTCCACCTGATGGAAAGTGGTAACCGTCGCCTATAGACATGAGCAGTACCATGGACATAACAGAGTATACTGTTTCGCCCATTATACCACCCATGCGTTGCCATTCCTGAGGACTCAGATGTTGGTCCTCTGTACCCAGTAAATTCACGCCATATCCCACCCTTCAAACTGAAACACAGCCGTGCAAACACAACTGCTTCACGGTAGAAACACGAATGGGACAGAGGTATCCAAGCAATCGACTTTTGTACAAAGTCTCCCTCTGGTAACATGTAGAATAGGAGAGACAATGTACACAATAGTTTCTTCAGGGTCTGCAACACGTAAGTGACAGCCCTAGTGTTGCAGGCGATCATAGGCTACAATGACCTTTTACCATCAGACGGGCTGTATACTTGTTTTTCATCTTTGTAGTGTAAAAAAAAGATAAATTTTGTACAGTTTCCTTCGGTAATGTCGATGAACATGTAACCTGGTTACACGAACGAATTAGCGGGTAAAAGCTAGTATTTATATAATTGCAGGTGTAAACGGCATGAACATGATCAGCCTGGCCCTCCAAGGACCACCGAATCTCCTGCGTCCACCCGCAACAGCTACACAACCGCTCCAAGCAAGAGCTCCTATTGGTAAAACCCATATTATAGTTTTTCAGTCTAAATCCATATCTGCTACTGCAAAATGTAACAAGATAAACAATGACAATATGTTTGGTGAACATCTTTAGATATTGCACATCAAGAAGTTAGAAAACAGAACATGTTATACGCTATTTTTTATAAAAATACAATTAATGTGAATATCAAAAATGATTTTTTTTAAAAAAATATGCTACCTGATACTGGTTTAGACAGAGCTTAGATTGATTTATAAAATTTTAGATTTACAATTTTATCTGAATATACAAGAAAATGTTTATATAATAACTGAATTACATTAAATAAATAAATAAATACAATAAATAAATTATAATTTTATATCACTTATTGTATTAAATTACATTATTCTCTCGTATATTAAAGAAATTGTTTTATTAGCGTATGTAATTGACACAGTTTAACGAAATATTGGTATTTGTTCATAAGCATTGAACATTTTCTAATTGACTTATTGTCGATTTTAACTATTACATAATTTAAATTAGAACCTAAGTTTACTTTATAATAGTTATAAATAGACTTGTACTTTGTTCTTTTGTTGTTAACTCTTTGTAGAATTTTAGATTACCATAAATTTTACATACTTGCCCTTATCACAAATTTCTTATTATCTCTTACAGTTGAGAGTCCGATAATCAACACGCAGTCCGGAGCCATATCCTTAGCGTCATTGCAACCGCCTCTGATGACTGCCCCTCCCCTGCAACCAAGACCTGCAACCACCGGATCCTTAGATCTAATGTTACCATTGCAACCAAAGTTGTTACCTGGCTACAACCTACAGTCTTCGTTTTTGTCCAACACCCTTTCAACTGTCCGACCACCAGATTTACCTGATAGGGATGAAAGAAGAGATGTAGATAGTTTTAAACCGAGTATAGAAGTTATTGTCGAGAAAAGAGAATCTATATCTGATAGCTCCGCACGTGATAGTAATTACGAAAGTACTGGAAAAAGTTGTGAAAATTTAGATAGGGTTTTAGATTTTCAAGAGAGTAATAATAGCATAGATGAAAGTAACAACCATAATGTAAATGATACTTATGATACTACAGATAATGTTTCGTTTGCCAATGATGAAATCAACTCTAACATAATAGATGCCAAAACAACCGACACTAGTTTAGGGAACAGTTCCAATGATAATAGCCCCAACAATAATTCTTATTAACTTATCGAATCAATTAATGTATAAAATGCATAATTTTCTAGTCGTGTAACCCCAAAACATAGTGTTACGAAAAATGTCTCCCATTAGACTAATGTGAATAAAGAAATTTTAAGGTTACAATCAATCAAAAACTTTCTCTCAAATTAGATTTTCTAGTTAAATTATTGTAATTAAAATATTATATTGTAATGTTGTGTCAAATTTAAATAAGTATTCTAAATTATAGTAATAAAATTACAGTCAAAAAGGGTTAAACGGATATGTTGTTAAAAGAAGTATTATCATTTAATAGATATTTAGTATATACAATATTTTCTAGTTAACCTTCATCTCGACCAAAAAGTAGATTAGTTGATTAGTTTTGTGTAAACAAAAGATTGAAGTTTTTGTATATTTTGTAAATGAAAGACGAGACAGTGATCGAATTGTAAATTACAATTGTACGACTTAATGTGAATATATTATTAATATTACCTATGACAATTTCACCTTCGATTCTACTCAAATTAGAAGACTTTCGAATTATTAATTAATAAGACGATTGATTTGTAATTATTCACTTACTTTGTAAAACGAAACACAACATTGTCATATTTTTATAGACAAATCGAAACGTGTATTGTGTAAATTAAATCAATAGACTCTTACTTTTACAGAAATACATTTGTATATAACCAATATGCAGTTGATAAATAAAAATGTAACTCATAAATTTTAGTTTATAATTTCCTATATTCCTTTCTAAGTATCGACACTTACCCTCTTATTCATAAAAACATCTAACCTCTTATAAACCTATTTGAGCTATTGAACTTGTGGCGTATTACTGGCCATCACAATACGCCTTTTATATAACTGGTCATGTCTGTCATATTTTTATATTTCTATTGTTCTTATGTTTTTACAATTCTGTTATTTATTAGTCTTTGTTTTCCTACCGATGAAGACGTGATAAAAGAGAACTACAATATTAAGGATTTTAATTTATCAACCCGTTTCTCTTAAAACTGTTTAGTCTCTTTCTTTTACACAAATTTTTCAATTTGTAAAAAAGTGACAAAATAGTGTAACAGTTAAAGTAGATTTTTATAAGGTTTTAGTTTTTATGAAAAAGGGCGTTAATTTGTAATAATTAAAGTTTTACTACCACTCACATTATTTTATCTCTTCTTTCCACTTGTACATCATATGTTTAATTAATCCTTGTTAAATATTTTATAATGTATTCTTTATCCAGGATTTTTACAAATAATAATCCATGTATACGACTTTTTTTTGATACAAAAAAGTTTCAAAGACAACAAGTAATTACTGTTAACCAGAATTCCAATATTGAAAACAATACATGCAGTTTTGAAACAATGTAAACGATATTCAGCGAACAAAAACAAATATCAGCTTTGCAAAGGATTCAGTATGAAATCCCGTAGGTATGCTCTCAAACTTTAATACCTCACTTTGTGCCAGCGTTTCAAGACCGGTTGCTAGCTTTTTATTGTGAAGTTACTCTTTCAGCCAGTATTTGTATTTCGTATGTATCGTTGCCCACTTTTTCAACGCTTTTAATATTTCATTATAATGCGCAAACATTGCTGTTTCGATTGCAAATAATTGCTTTTAACATCAGCAGTAAACAATCTATATTAATAGATCCTTACTAATATAATTAAAGGTGCAAGTCAGTTTGTTTGTTCGTTACAATATATCGCCTTTACGACTTTACCAATCACTATGAAATTTGGTATATGCATACTATATGGGATAGAGAAATATATAGGTTTTTTTTATCCTTGTCACGTAGACGAAGTCGTTCGTAAAAGCTAGTTTACAAAAAATTGCAACTACAACTGTAATAAATATATATTGATTATTGTTTTTCAAACTACATTATTTTAAAGTATTCTAAAACAAAATAGCTACATAAAAATTAAGGTTAAAATAATTATTTTTTTTTTTATGTATTATAGTGACTTATTACATTTTGTGGTGTAAAAAAATCTAAAAAAAGTGTGCCAATCTTGTATATAACATAAAAATTAGGTGATAGTAAAAATGGCTGTTTACGATTATACCGAAAAATATGGCTGAGGGATGGTACTACAAAAAAAAATTACAATTCATTGTAGTATACGTCGAAAATTGTAAAAGTTAGTTATTGTAAAAATAGGGGATTTTTTCTCAGCCATATTTGACTCTTCATTGAAATTGTTAGTATGTTCATATTTAATATTCTTAGCTCTTGCATATTTTTCTAATGTTAGCATTTTTGTCATTGGTTTTTCAAATAAAACTGATTTGTTATTAAAATGTGTATATCTTTAGGAGAGCGACATATTTTGGTAACAAATAATAAGTGGTCATGTTTTTATTGTACCTCATATTTTATTGTTTGAATAAACAAAGATTGAAAAATGTTAAACGTGCTTTAATTTTATACCTACCTAATTTTTTTTACCGGTACCTTTACTACACTAGATTACCCGCCAATTAATTATTTTCTCTCTAACTACACTGGGTCGGCTGGAAGAGATCTCTTTCAGAGATAAGCCCTCCCTTGCTAACAAGTTGTTAAACTAATCGCTATATGTATTGTTCAAGTGCAATAAAGAATATATATAAATATTATAAATATTTAAGATATGCTGCTGATTTTCACCATTGTACAACCCGCCATAAACTAAAATTTCATCCCAACCATCTGGACGAGTGGCGGTCCTCCACTGTGCGTTTTGCAAGGCGCTTTCTTTCACACACAACCACATTTTGGTATCAACTTCCAGCAGCAGTATTTTCGAATCGATACGACAACTTAACCTTCAAGAAAAAAGCATATTCCTTCTTGAAAGGCCGGTAGCACACCTGCAATGCCGCTAGTGTTGTGGGTGATCATGGTCAGTAGTCACTTATCATCAGGTGAGCCGCATGCTGGTTTGCCCCCTGTATTGTAAAAAAAAAATGTGAAAGCTAGTTTGTTTGTTTTTGAGCTACCTCTTGGCTCATTGTCATAATGCACACATAGTAGTAAAACTATGTTTTCGACAGAAGAGAAGGAGCTGCTCAATTCGGTTGCATTTTTAGATAGATAGATAGATAATTTATTTACATCACTTACAGCACACAAAACACAATACAAACATACACATAATACACAGTAAAAGAGACAAAAGAATGAAAATAAAAAAGCAACAAAACAAAAAAAAAAACAAAAATCAAAATATATACACCAACAATTTCATTTCCTTCCTTTCCTTCATGCGTGTGCCATAGTAACACAAAATGATCACAACTCAGTTTATTACTTTGCCCTCAAAAGAGCAAAACGCTGATATTCTTTTAGCCACAACAGAATTTTGTTGTTCTTTTATGTTTGTTACCTTCTAACTGTATCAGTTGCGAACATATTTAGAAAATTCTTCTTTTATCTGAAAGGATATACTTACAGACTGGTCATACAGAAAATTTATCGAAATCGGTGCAATAGTTTTTTTTATACAACTTAGAATGGCAAAAAAAAAAGGCTGACTGCCCACCTGATGGAAAGTGGTAACCGTCGCCTATAGACATGAGCAGTACCATGGACATAACAGAGTATACTGTTTCGCCCATGATAACCCCCATGCATTGCCATTCCTGAGGACTCAGGTGTTATTTCTGTGTACCCTGTAAATTCACGCCATATCCCACCCTTCAAACCGAAACACAGTAATGTAATCACAACTGCTTCACGGTTGAAACATTTGGTTAATTTTTAAATCACAATAAATAATTTTACCTGACCAATCAATCTTGCCAAAGTTTGTTTGGAAAAGATCGCTCTTAGCGATAAGGGCGCCTATTGTTTTCTTAGTGTAATATTTTCTTGTAATTGTTTGTATTTTTTTTAATGGATGATAATGGGATAGTAACTCCACCCGCGCTATCGGTATACATCGGCGAGGCACCAGTGAAGGATGATAGGTGAGGAAGTAGGTCAGTTAGCCCATAGTGACGAATTCAAAAAGAATTGTACACGATGGTTTCTAGGGGGAACCACGTGGAAGTCGACCTAATAAGGCATAGTGCAAGCAACGGGGCTGTCAAACTCCATTGCTAAAAATCCCTTTCCCCCCAATTGTTTGTATTTATAATAAGTTTGCTATTTTAATCATATGGAGGAAACAATAAAGGATATCTATCTACCTATCTTTCTATTTGCCACAATTGAAGTCGTTTTGTTGTTACAGAATACATCTTAAATTAGGTATAAATGAATCCTTATAACACCTGTACAAGTTCAAAATAGTGGTACATTTTCAGTTTGCCACAAACACCGGTTGAATTGTGCCCGCATAGTGGCTACAACGCTTCAAAGCTCTACATAATTAAATTTCTAACCCAGAGCGGTACCTCTAATCAATGGCCGATATCAAATATTGACAGTGTCGCAGTGCTATTCAACCTCAGTCTTGTGGGTCGCTTAATATAATTAAGTTTAAATAGATTAGGATAGGATGGAATAGGATAGGATAGTAGAGAATAGAAAAGAAAAGAAGGGCTCTATATAAATAGACTTGAACGAATAAATGAATGAATGAATGAAAACTCTTTATCGTTCCCGTCGAAGAATGATACAAATTACAAAGATTAACAATATGTATACGAAATCATTAACTTATTTATAAAAAGCAATATTTTTTTTTATTTAGAGGCTTTTATCCTATAAGGATATGTCACCCCATCATACCCTAATCTTTAAAAAAAGTAAAATAAAGAGGCAACAATGGGTGACGTTCTGCTAAATAGCAATGTCTTCTAGGCAACCTTAGGATGGAGAGAAATAATTAAAGTCGTGTTTGGTCAAGGCGTAACAGATTTCTTTTACTTTTCTATGATTATACTGCTGGGTTTTACAGCAATGACTTTTTTTTTTAAATAATTATTGTATTTATAAAAATATTTTAATAAATATGAGCGTTCCCGCAAATAGGTCCTGTTCTCGAATATAGCAGAAGATAAATTAAGAAATCAAAATTATTTGTTCATTTAAGACATTTTTAAACTTATGCAAGTCATTTTTTAACCTCACTATTCAATTCAGTATATATAGTCATCCGAGAAATTAAATATTATTTATATATTTTTATGTGAAGGGTACAACAAATTTTGTGGAAATTTATACGATTTTAAAATACTAATTTCAATTCGATTATAGATATTTTTCTTGATATGTGTATCGCTCATCTGCTGGAAATCACAATTGTAATATGTTTATGTGAATATTTAAAACACGAAAGATTAATTTCTAAGTTTAAATAAATAGAGTATAAAAGACTAAATTAAATTTAGAGGTCAGAGAATTGTAAGCCGTCTAAAATTATGATGCGTATATATATTTCTTTTTATCCAAATTCCACAAAATTATGCCTTTCGGAAATTATTTAAAAGGCACTAAACATTTATGCAAGGATTTTTTGTTCAGAACGCATTTATATATGCTGATTTGAAAATAAAGGAAATGGATTATGCATTGTGTCTTTTTCCCTACGTTTCCTTATAAAGGATCTAATGAAAAAAAAGAGGATTTATTTTTAGGGACGAAACAAACAGGGATGGAACAGGTGCGGTGGATAGGAACAAAATACACATAACGGGATATTTTTGCGACATGTTTTTTTTGTAGTAGCAACTTAATTTAGAGATGGCACAAAATTGCGAGTTACTTAGAATATCTATTATATATAGAATACCTGGTTGCCATTGTACTGGCAGTTGTACCTATATATTCCCTTGTGGTCCCGGCATAGAATAAGCCACCCCTTCCTTTCCCGTGGGTGTCGTAAGAGATGATTAAGGGAATTAGAGAGACAGACAGCAGCGTCCATCTTAAAACATCGCCAAAACCTAACTGCAGTTGCCAATTCACTTGCCAAACATGGCAGATACTGGCAAAACCCGACCTAGGGGAGGTTTATGTTTAGCAGTAGACAGTTAAAAGCTACATAATATGATGATGATGATGATTATCTATGTAGTTCTTGAATGACAAAATACATTAATATCCGATAGAGTGTTATTAAACTAAAACATTGTCTAAACCCTATATTTAAAGTCTCTTTAGCCGATTCAAAAAATAAATCATGAGTCATCTACTATTTTGAGTCCATGTTATGACATGTGTTCTCTTTTAATAGGAAATAACTTATTATTTTAACAACAAATCCAACTCGGTTGGGCAGCGTTCGGAAAACTACGCTACATCTTTTCATCCTAAATACCTCAGAATTTGAAGACGAAGGTCTCTAACCAGTGCGTGTTTCCAGTGATGACTTATGGAACCGAAACATGGTCCTACACGATTGCCCGTATGCAAAAGCTTCAAGTTACTCAGCGGATTATGGAGAGGGTTATGCTCGGAGTCTCTTTGCGTGATAGAATCCGAAACGAGGATATCCGCAAAAGAACCAAAATAACCGATATAGCCCGAAGGATAAGGAAGCTGAAGTGGCAAAGGACTGGTCACATAGCTCGAAGAACCGACAACCGATGGGGAAGAAAGGTTGTTGAGTGGCGACCGCGTACGGGCAAATACAGTGTAGAACAATCCTCCACTGGATGGATTGATGACCTGAAATGCATTGCAGGGAGTCAGTGGATGCAGGTGGCTCAGGACTGTTCCTTATGGCTGTCTATGGGGGAGGACCTATCTCCAACAGTGGATGGTTAATTGCGGAAATGATGATGGACGATGATGACGACAATATGTTTGCTGACTACAAGTCAAAGTAACATTTCCTTCCGCGAACACTCAGGCTGTGGAATCATCTCCCTACCGAGGTTTTCTCTAAAAACTACAGTATGGGGTTCTTCAAAAACCAAGATTAAGGTTTCTTCAAGTTCGACAACGAGCACGTAATACCCCTATTATTGCAAGAGTTCATCAGAAGAGCTGTATGCTTGTTTGCTGCCTTCGTGGTATAAAAAAAAAAAAAAATACACACGAATTAGAGATTTAGAATACCTGGAGAAACAATAATAGCTATAGGTATAGTTGTAACGTATATAGGTTGGGAACGACAAAGGATCACCAGCAATGCAAAGCCAGTTGCTAAAATAAACCGTGTTTTAGAGCTTTTATAAAATAACTAGTAACCTCGAAAATTTTATTTTGTCCCCTACCGTGACCTATATTGTCGCCCATTGTTTTCTTATTAGAATAAACTCTCTTAAGTTGCAGAAAATTGCATCAAAATCGAATGAGCAGTTTCAAAGATTTCGGTGAATGAACATCGAGACAAAGAATTTTTGTATGTTAACATATTCTGGTAACATTTTTCTTTTACATTCATCATAATCATACCGGCTGTTAACTGCCATGTTTGGCAGACGAGCTGGCAACTACAGTTAGACGTTTGGTGATGTTTTA